GCTCTTCACCCAGCGACCAAGACCCCAATACTCCGAAGACTCGAGCCGAGGCCGGCAACGAAAAATCCCAAAGCTCCACTCCCCAGCCACCTCCCACTTCCCGCTACCCTCCGAGCAGAGACCCCGGCGCTCGTGAGTGAATTTCAGGCGTGGGAACGACTCTCAAGAGTTTTTTTCCCTTATTCTTCTCGTAGCCATGTGGGTCCATGCTAAGTGGCCATGGGGGGAGTGGGCCCATAAAGGAAGTCATTGAGGGGGGCCACAGCTGATGGCTTGCCAACCCTGTGGAGACGTTTCGGGGAGGGTGGAGGCAGCTACGCTCTTGCCCCCCCCCCTCCCCACCACCCGCTCCATACTGTTACTCCCTTGGGTGTCTTACAATCCATTGCCTATTCTGCATAATGGTGGGAGCTCATTGAGACGTAATGGGCCTGGCTCCTCTGTGGTTGGAAGGGCCGTGTCTGCCAATATCTGGTGTCGTAAAACAAAACACGGATTACCGCTCTTTTCCATTTCATGCCTGAACTGTTGAGAACTCGTCTCGCTCCCAGACCACCTTACACGCGCCTCTTGCAAGGGAGATCTGGGCTACGGCCTACAGGGGGAATGTTTACAAAAAAGAAAAGCACCGCTCAAACGTTTACCGCGCAAAATTAACAACGGTTTTAAAAGTATCCAAAAAAAAATCAACGCGCACAACAAACCCATTGTGAACGCGAGAAGTGGCAACAACAACGCGCACAGCCCCACGTGAGCTCAGCCTCGCAGCCGTCTCCTTTTGAAGGACCTCGTCCGACAGTGGCGGCCGCGCAGCTACGGAGATTGTAAAGCGGGCGGCCCACGGTTCTGGGGGGGGGGGGGGGGCCACGGTGCCGGGTGGGCCACGGTGTCTGGGGGGGCCCCGGCGACCGGCGTTACGAAAAGGGTCGAAAATTTGGACAACGTGCGGGGGGGGGGGGGGGCCATGGCAGCCACACTTCGCCACCGGTCAAGGATAATGCTGCATGTGCCTGTGAGTGTGCGTGTGTGAGTGTGAGCCTGTGTGAGTGTGCGTGTGTGAGTGTGAGCCTGTGTGAGTGTGTGTGAGTGTTTCGGAGGGGCAGGGGGCGAGGGGGCAGTGTCGAGAAGATGAAAGCGAGGTTGGACAAGGCCCAGCATTGTGTTGGACGCGAAGACGCAGGGAACACAATCCACACGTTTACTCGCATTCTTGGCGTGCACGGCCATGTGTATACGTACAGGGCCGTGTGTACATGTACAGGGCCGTGTGTACATGTCGGCGTATATGCAATGGGGAGCGGTAGTGTAGCGGTTAGCGCGCTGTGCTACGAACCTGGCGGGCCGAGTTCGATTTCCGCTCACGGCCAACACCAGTGACGATGATCTGAACCGGTCATGGGTCTCCCCTTGGTCGACTCAGCCTCAAATTAGTACCTGGTGCGGTGTGTAAACATCACCACTGGGGGGTCAAAGGCGGCCGTGCGTGATTCTGGCCACCTACCCCCTCGTGTGCCTTGCCGGCCTTCATAGGTGCTCGCTAACAGCACTTGCCCCAACAATAGGTTGAGGCTATACGGGGATCTTTGTCTTTGTATGTACAATATATGGGGCATGATTCTTGGTGCAGTGGTTTTTAGAAGTCCGCTATGAATCCGGCCACATCTGAGCCGGTTGAGGGTACCCCACTCACCAGCGTGGTGAAGTATGGTCAAACAACCCACATGACTTACTCAGGAGGGAAGTACTACTATTCACATTTCATTTCACCAGGTAAGGCCCACTGAGCTATGTAGCTCTAGGGGTGGTCACCCATCCCAGTAATAACCAAGCTCAAGTCTGCTTAGCTTCTGAGAGCTGATATGACGTACATCCCTTTGTCAATCCACTGCTGGATAAAGGGCCGGCAAGATGTTAACTCCCTCGCCTGGTATGCAGGAGGTCGTGGGGTTCGATCTCGACCCTGCCGGCTGAATGTTTGGAGTTTGCGGGTCTCTCTCCCCATGGTCGCGTGGATTTTTCTCCAAGCCATCCGGTTTTCCCCTCCGCATTGAGAAACAGGCACTGACAGTGTTTGGCTGCTATGAATTTCCACGCGATAAGCCACTTTGTTGACCTATCAATCGTGGCCAGGTCGCTTCTGAAACAGAGCTGTATGTCTCAGTAGGCCTTACTTGGTTAAATAAATAAATGTTTGTAGCTTATAGACCAGCGCGGTGAAGTACGGTCAAACAAGCCCCATCACCGACACACCGACTTTAAGAGGCCTTCATCCATCCAGCAATGGATTACCAAAAGACTGCCACGCATTTACATAAACCCGGCACAAATTGTTAAAAGCCACCGAGTATCTGCGTATAGACACTGTTAGTGTGGGAATGTATTGGTGTATTGTGAATGCTGGTAGTTGTAATGCTGTGTGTGTCTGCGGGTTATATATAGGAGGCTGTGTTCTTTGTTGCGTGGCGATGTGGCTCATACGCTTGGCATGCCCCCCCCTCTCCACGATGTCTCAGTGATTCCGTCACTTAATGTCTGAGCCGCTTGTCAGCGCGAGGAGACAAGAGCTGTGGCTGTTTGTGTGGCCCGCCTCCACGTTACGCACTGTTTCCACAATCACCACCACAATCAGCACAGCTACCACCACTACCGCCACAACCACCACAATCACCACCACTACCGCCGCAACCACCACCACCACAATCGCCACCATAAATCAGCACAGCCAGAACCACCACCACAAACAGCACAAGCATCACCACTACCGCCACAACCACCACTACCACCACCACCACAATCGCCACCACAATCAGCACAGCCAGAACCACTACCACAAACAGCACAAGCATCACCACTACCGCCACAACCACCGCCACCAAAATAAACAAAGATCCCCCGTGTAGCCTTCACAGACTGTTGGGGCAAGTGCTGTTAGCGAGCACCTTTGAAGGCCGGCACGGCACACGAGGGGGTGGGAGGTCAACACCACACCCGGCCGCCTTTGTCTCCCCAGTGGCGATGTTTACACATCGCACCAGGTACTCATTTGAGACTGAGTCGACCTAGGGGAGGCCCAGGACCGGTTCAGAAAATCGTCACTGGTGTTGGCCGTGAGCGGGAATCGAACTCGGGTCGCCAGGTTCGTAGCGCAGCGTAGCGCTAACCGCTACACCACCGCTCCCCACTTTCCACCATCACCACCGCTACCACAAGCACTGTCACCAACGTATGTATGTACATGTTAGACTTCTTTCGCACCGTACGTAGCCAAGCGTGCTAATAGCCAACAGGCACCGCAATCCTCACTGTGGCTGCCACCACTATTGGCGCAACCACCATCAACAACACGTTCACTCCACTAAACAGGTGTTTTCGATTACCCTTACACAAACGCCACGGCCTATGTTATAACATACAACACACGTGCCCTTTATTAACCCAGACGAGAACCCATCAATGATTACATCACAGGGCCGTGAGAGCTGGGGGGGTCGGGGGTAGGGGGGGGGTTGCATCCAGCAGTAGATCGATCATGACCGATGGCGATGAAGAACCCGTTGAGAGTAGCACACGCGCCAGAGCTCGCAGCAGGGAGCCTATTGTCTGGACGACAGCACCGAGAGGTGGTGCGCCCACAACACAGCACGCGCTCGGGGCGCCCTCATTGTTCATCATCTCAACAATGGCCCCGTGCCCAGCCAGCAGCAGCAGTGGGGCCTGCAGGAAGCCTCGTCGTGAACTGGGGGGGGTCTATGTAGAGGGGGGGCTCGCACACCCCTTTGATTGGTGCTCTCTCGTGGGGCTCACCCACCATCACAGCCACTCCACGGTGGCTAGGAGATGTTGACTACCTCGCCTGGTATGCAGGCGGTCGTGGGTTCGATCCCGACCCTGACGCCTGCTGCTGCTGTATATTTGGAGTTTGCGTGTCTCTCTCATCGCGTTCGCGTGTATTTTTGTCCGGGTCCTCCGGTTTTTCCCTCCACATTGACAATGAACAGCACGCATTTCAGGTATCTGGCTGCTATAAATGTCCACGTGATGAGCCACTCCGTTGAGCTATCATTTGTGGCCAGGTCGCTTCTGAAAAAGATCTACATCGCTCAGTGGGCCTTACCTGGTAAAATAAAAAAAATTGTTTAGTTTTAGGAGCACCCCCTTCTCCTGTAATGAGTACCTGTAGGGGGGGGGCTCCCCCCCCCTCCCCCCTGGACGCAGGCTGCTATATCTCTCACTGAGGTCATGTTCTGCGTCTAGATTTGAAGCTTTCGTGACTGCAAGGATTCATATTCTTAGGTTTTTTCGGTAAAGTCACGTAGGTAAAAATTTTAATTAATAAAAGTAAAATAAAAATAAAATAAAAATCACGACGTTTCGGAGGCTTGTGTTGCCTCCGAAACGTCGTGATTTTTTAAATTTTATTTTTATTAATTACATTTTTTTACCTACGTGACTTTACCGAAAAAACCTAAGAATATGTTCTGCGTCGCCTCGAGACTGGAAAAGTACGCGTCACGTGACAAGCAGCTGCAGCCCACAGCGGTGTGCCAGAGCGTGGAACGATTTCCCGGTGTCGCTGATCAGGACAGACGTGGCTTGAATGAATCCCTGCCTCTCGGGGGCCTTACCTCGCGGCCCGTGGGGGGAATGACCTGGTGGTGGCCACATTGTCAACCCTGTCGTGTGCCCTTGCTTAAAAGGGGTGGGGGAGGGGGCGGGGGGCCAACATTGAGGGGACGGGATTGGAGCACGACGAAACCAATGTTAAACAGAGCGAGTAACGATATACGAGCGGCTCTTACCTCTCGTGCATTCTGCTGTTCTAGCTCTCACTGCCTGTGTACAGTCTATGGGGGAGGGCTGTACCAACTTTTTTTTTTACAATACTGTCAATTTATTTTTAATGGTTGGGTGGTTGGGGGAGCCCAACCCAACCCAGCTTTCAGCAGGAGGGGGTGCTGAGCCCCCCCCCCCCCGCCTCCCCCCACGACTCCGGCGAGTACCTGCAGGCTGGTGGCGAGCTGGCGGATGTAGAGCATGTTCATGTCTTCCACGATGCGGATCGTGTCCTCGCGGCACAGGGCACCCCGCTCGGCCGGCATGATCTTCCCACACAGCAGGGACAGCATGGGGCTCGCCCGGGACACGCCGGGGTAGTCTCGTCCGCGTGTCCGTCTACCGCTGCCTCGCTTGTTGGGCTGTTTGGTCGTCCGTCTGGCTTGGCTGTCTGGCTGTCCGATTGCCCGCTTGGCTGACTTGTTATGCGGCTCGCTGTCTCGATGTGTGTCTAGCTGTATGTCTGCGTGGATATCTGTCCGTCTGGCTGGCTCAACGCCTAGCTATACGTGCGTGCGCATCTGCCTATTTGTACATCTGCCTGCGTATTCGACTATTTGTCTGTCCGGCTAGCTGCCCATCTCTCCATGCGTCTGTCGAGTCGTCTGCCTGCCTGCGCGTCTATCTTTCACTGTCAGTCAATCACATGCGCCGAGGGAGCACGCACCTTCAGCGCGATTGCTTCCACGGCAGGCGCACACCTCACGGGGAAGACACCCGCCCCTCACTGCAGCTCGCTGTGTCTACCCGCTCCAGTCCAGGACACGGACTCCATCGGACGTGGTCCAAACTCACGGAATTATCATTCACCCACGTGGTCAGATAAGAGGCGCGCTTGAAGAATAACGCGCACACAACACCACCCCCCCAACCCCAACGCCACCGCGCTCAGCAGCCGTGCAGCAGCTTTCGTGCACCACAAAGTCCGGTAGCTTCATCCTACCGGCAGCAGCTGCTGCCAGGTAATCGGGGGGCCTCAATCCAAATCTTCTTTACGCCGAGTCAAGGTCCTTTGCGAGCGCTTGCGAGGCTTTCTTGAGCAGCTAAAGCCACGTGACCACCCTAAGCTCTCCTGGTTTTCGTCATCGCTTCGATTTGTTTGAAAGACTCGGAGAGGACGAAACAGCCTTCGCATGCACCGATGAAGCGGTAGCCGCTCGCTCACCCACGGGTGAAACAACCACGGATGATGTCGCTGCTGCAGTCAGGGTCCATAGATCGCTCAATGATCGACAGGGCCACCTCTTCAATTCTTTGTCGCCGTCATCATCATTGCTGTAGTCACCTTATAACCTAGCCCCCCCTCCCCCCACGAGCATCGCCCGGCTCCGCGTGCCGCCAAACTCTCTCTCGCCAGCGCCGCTGGAGCCGGGCAGTGACGGAGAGGAGACGGAGGCCGCCTTCTATGTTTAGACACGCGCAGCTGTGCTCGCTCTGTGTATTTATGCCAGGATCCTGAGCACTCCCCCCACCCCAACCTACATCCCCTTCTCTTCCCCTCTTCCTCCTCCTCCCGTTAAAGCTCCATCCTGCTCCTCACCCCCCCCCCCACACGCACACCGACTCGCCCCCTCTCGCTAAGTCAACTTGTTTATAACTCCGCTGCGTTTCGCAGCTCCTTACCATTTGTCACATCGCTGCGTTGTTGATGAACATCGCGCATCGCGGCCGCTGCAGTCACCGATATTAATAACATCGGCGCTATTGCCCCGACTGCCTGCTGCCATCGCTATCGTCACAGTCATCGATAACGACAGCATGAATCTACGCACACCGCAGCTGCCATCACTGGCACGATGGTGGCTACGACTACTCTGCTATGCATGCACGTGCGTTGAACTTCTTTCGCACCGTACGTAGCCAACCGCGCTCATGGGAGGTGCTACCAAAGCTGTCACCACGACCATCACAATCACCGCTGCCACCACGAACTACCAACCATCACCAAAATGACCACCACCACAATCGTCACAAAAACCATCACTACCACCACTACCACCACAATAACCGACATTCACTCCCACTACCACCACCGCCGCCACCACAATCACCCGCACAGCAACCAACACCAAAGACAAAGATCCCCCGTGTAGCCTTAACAGACTGTTGGGCCAAGTGCAGTTAGCGAGCACGCTACCACCACCACTACAATCACCGCCACCACGGGGCATCCGGAGCCCCCCCCCCCCCACATTACCCATGGCCCCCACCGCCCCCTCCACACTTACAGCGGCTCCCCATGGGTTTCGCAACTCCTCGGGACTCTCCATCAATGAGCCACCTTGTACAATCCCCCCCCCCTCTCCATTAGCCCCCTCCCCTCCCCCCCGATAATAATAATAAAGCCCTCCGCTGCCAGTCGTCGCACAGACCTCAGCAGCCAGCGCTCAATCCCGCACACAAAGCCACGCGGACAGCCCCCTCTCTACCCCCCCCCCTCCCGCGCCGTTCGCTCGCCGTTTGGTTCAACAACGCAACTCACCACAGGCGGGGGGGGGGGGCACTGGGGGGAAGGGGGGAGGGGCGCGGGGGGGGGGCTTCACATCACAAGAAGGTGACACATTTTTGTTTGCGGCTTCACTGCTTCTCGGCGCGCGTTCTCAGTGTTGCCTCGACTCGCTTTGCGCTCGCGGTTCGCGCACAGCTGAGAGCGACTTTCACCGGGGCGCGCCCGCAAAGCGATCTGCTGAGAGGCGCCTCCAGCCACGATGGGGTCACTCATTGAGCCAAGCGAGGCGCTTGTTATTCGCTCGCTTGAGTCACAGAAGGGGGAAAAACCCCTACACGCACGAGACTGACCCCACCACCACACCGCCCCCTCCCTGCTGTGGCGGTGGCGATGGAATTCGGGTCAGCTGCGACCCTCTGACCCCTCCGTTGGACCCTGTGGCTCAGCGTGCCACCACGGGGTGGGGCGCTTGACGTGATGTTCACATGTTTAACTTGGTTCCGATAAACATTACACGGATTTCCCCGCCCCCCCCCCCCCCACCAGATAAGACGTCAATATTCGCGAGTGTTTAGCAAAAACTCTTCATTGTTCACATAAAAAGAATATAAACAAAAGTTACCTGTTTTGTTTTTCCATACAAATTCAAGGCTCTTCGTGTGTTTTTTTTTGTTTCGTGTTTTCCCTTCCCATGGATTTTGAAATTAATCATTGTTTACTATCCAGGGCCGCGCAGGGCCACCACGAGGTCAGCAATTGTGCCAGGTTCGCAGCGGACACAACCACTACCTGAACTGTTCCCCCATTTCATCAGTACACAAAGACAAAGACCCCCCGTCTAGCCTTCGCAGGCTGTTGAAGCTAGTGCTGTTAGCGAGCACCTACGAAGGCCGACACGGGCGCACGAGGGGATTGGTGGTCAGCCCCACGCCCGCTGCCTTTGTCTTCCTAGTGGCGAAGTTTACACACAGCACCAGGTACTCATTTGAGGCTGAGTCGACCTAGGAGAAGCCCAGGACCGGTTTAGATAATCGTCACTGATGTTGGCCATGAGCAGGAATCGAACTCGTTTCGCCGGGTTCGTACTGCGGCACGTTAACCGCTACACTACTGCTCCCCCCCCCAACAACACACACCCGTGCATTCACATTCTCTCTTCACGACACAGGCTGCACGTCCTGACGTCAAATTAAAACCTGAGACGCGAGCGTCAAGGACTGTGCACGTGTTTAAACTCAGTGTTCCAATCCACCCACGTTCACGTCTGGGAAGAGAAAGGGGGTCAGAGCGAGAAGGGGAAGTTGGCATGAGTGAGTGTGGGGCAGAGAGGCGGGGTTGGAAGGGGAGGGATGCCGCCGACCATGCTGGGGGTGAAATGAAGAAAGCCACGTTAATTTGTATGTTATTATTTTTTTTGGCTCTCAGAGGCGCCGATTTGCGAGCTCGTCAAGGGGCTGGGGCGCTGGGCGTGGGGCGGCGTCAGCTGCCGCGATTTGAGCTCTCGCGGAGCACAGCGAGGAAGTTTTGGGATTCAGAGCCACAGATGTGGCCAATTATTTTCTTCATGAAATGCTTTCTTTGTATTTTTTTCTATTTTAGTTACTCCAGCCTTTTGCCAACGGCTTCGCGCCGGCAGGCCAAGCGTTTGTGCGGAAACTCTCGCGTGGCAGTCGGTCGGCAGTAGAAGTGGACGTCACAGAACTACCTCTGAGATCTTCTTACGCACACTAGAGGGCGCTGCGCTTTTATCACGTGCCCTGCTGTAGAGACACTCGTCGCAGGGCGCTCAAACCGCATTTTACTTTTGTAGATATCACTGCTGGAATATTTGGGCAATTAAGAGCAAAAAAATTAAAATCTCAAATGTTATTTTTTTGTGTGTGCACTCATCGATGAGCACATCAACCTCACACAACCCAGTTTAATCACAGGCAGCTGACATGATGAGATAATAAAAAAGACTAAATTGGAATATACAAAATTGCAATCATCGCTCCTACCGCAAAAATTTTAGCAGGACCCTCATGAGAAGGAGTCATGAGACTCGGAATAATAATACAATTCTCAGGATAGCTGTCTCAATGTATCAATTCCTGAGCTAGCCAGCGGTTTAGGCTCTGCAGGCTCTCATTGTAATGAGCTCTGCTACAAAGGGCAACAAATGTTGAGGTCTGGACTTGAATGCGTAAATAATGAGATGAACGTAAATCATTACCACTCAAAAAAGACCCCAGTGAAGTTTATTGTACAACTAAACAACTATTATGATGAAATTTTAAATGCCGTTATCTTCAATCGCAGCCAATGTTACACGGCGATGCAGTAATTGAGTAAAATAAATAATATCACAGGCGATGGCGGAGCCAAGATTTTCAGGTAGGGGGGGGGCAACCCCTCCAGCAATGAAAACTGATAGAGGAGTTGTGAGTAAGTAAGGAGTTGTTAGTAAGTAAGGACTTGTCCCTTGCCTTGTATTCGACGCGTGTGCGACGATAGTGCAGCCATCGATCGAGGGTCGAATTCGAACCGCGTTGTGTGATCGGCATCGCGCTCGCTGAAGGTGAATGCCTTCAGGGAAGTCGTGTACTGTATACGCAATTCTGTGAGTAACTTATAACTGCTTTGCCGTTACTTATTGCCAATTATGGACTTAGACTATTGTCCTATCATCTCATAGAGTCCCTGGCACGTAATAACATGCTACACAGTGGCAGTGGGGGTCACAAAATGCCGATTTATTACTGGCTCCGCCAGTGATCACAGGTCACCGATTAGGAATATGGAATGTCAATTGCAATCTGATCGTATACGTTAACGATGCAATTTGTGCATTGTTATTAATTCTGTTTAATTATATTTATGCAGCAACATTCAACATCGGAGTCAATCTGTCCTCTCCGCCCGCCCCCTCTCCCAGTTACCCCCCTCTCCCCCCAACTGAATCGAACTTTTGTCGCCCTGTGGTGCTAATTCCACATTGCTATGATGGGAGCAGGCGAAATCGTAGTGCAAACAAAGTATTTATCACTATGAGACCTCCTTTACCAGTGGCAAAATATAGTAATAGGTTTTTACCCTTTCAACTGGTACAAAAACTGACACCTTTATACAAGGGATCATGTTTGCAATAACCACAACACAAGCAGTCAAAATGCAAGCAAAAAGAAACAACTCTGATAATGATATTGATATGCACTGTCCTTGAAGTTGATTGGTCCACACCCAAGACAGCTTTTCTTAGAGCCTAGTCTCCATTGGTGTTCTGTTGTGCATAGTTTTTTTTACGTCACTACGTAACTGCCGATATACAATAATCGATTATTTCAATGCACGGAGAATAGTATTTTGTAAACAAGCCTGGCTGAAAAACTAATCCCCTGTACAGTACTACAGTGCATACTTTCCTCATAATGGACTGAAAAAAAATCCCTCACGAGAAGAATGGTTGAGAAAGCGACATTTTTGGAATATTTGCTTGAAAGTGGGCCATTTCCTCCTCAAATTTGAGCAGTAAAATTCCCCTTTAGCTCAGACAGCCCGTGGGGGGGGGGGGGGGGGGGGCTCACGTGCACACCCTTGCTGGATCCACCGTGATCTCACGCAGCGCTTGGGACGCGGAGCGGCCTTGGAACGCTCTGGCCTTGCGTTTCACGAAGCTGGGACGGATGGGTGGGACCCAACAGCCACTGCCATAGAGTGCCCCTTCGAGCCAGGGGTTCCATATGGTAGTCACGAGGAATCAGACACGATGTAGATCGCACATTAGGAACCGATCCAGTGGTGTAGCTATCGAGTGTGCAGGTGGTGCAACTGCACTGGGACCCCACAGAGAGCGTGGGGGGGGGGGGGAATGTGAAATTGAACAGGGGGCGGGGGGGGAATTTAATTTCTTACACCAGGGCCCATGCCAACCATGCTATGCCATTGACACAGTGATCCATCGGACA